GTGGGATTTGGGGAGGGGAGGGACCTCAGAGTCCACCCTCCAAAGCAGCCATGTTCTCCGGGGGAACAGATCTTGGTTATCTGGCAATCTCGAGGTGCCACCTGGAGGTTGGTAATTCTACCCCAAACCTAAATATTAACACACAATTTCTCTTCCTGGATCATGCCTGCTGCTTCAGATGTTCACAATGTGAGTGCAGAGTGCAGACAAAGTATGAGATCTCTGGACCCTACTTAGGAAAGAGACTGAGGGGAGATTTTAACCTAGCTGTGGGATTTGTTATCTGTGTCAGAGGCTCTGGATCACCTGCAGTCAGGAGCCAGCATGTGAGCCCTTCTGGAGAGCACCACCACAGTCAGAAAAAGCTGCCCACGCCAACCCCCCCCCTCCCCTAGCTTCCCCCCCCCCAGAGAAGCCCAGGCTTTTCCACCTTCCTGCTTCTCGTGTAAGGCGTGTGCTGGTGATCTGGAACAGCTGAGCCTCAGGTGAGAGTGCAAAGCAGAGCAGGCAAACTGGCTGAGTGAGTGAGGCTTGGCACAGGAGAGGAGGAGAGAGAGAGAGCAAGCTGCAACAGTAACTGTATTAGGCAACTTCTCGTCAGGAGGAGCAGGCAGGCAGCCGGCGCTGGACTGGGGAAGGCAGCTTCAAGTCTCTGTTCTCCACCGTCTCTGCTCTTGCTTTGCAGTACCGGAGTGTGGCTGGACCGGAGTCGGGGTCACAGAGTGTGAGGGCGCTCTGAAATCGCAGGAGCCAGCCCCTCCTGTCGTCCCTCCAACTCAAATTCTCTCCTCCTTCTTTCCCCCTCTTCCCCCTTCTCAGGCCTATGTAATTTTTTCCCTGCGTGCACTCACTTGCTTTTCACTCCCCCACCCCCATTGACTCCTGAGAGGCACGGGGACCTCCGTGGGAACACAATAAAGCTAATTGCAGCCTCAGAAGCCTCTGCCTGAGTTGAGTCCACCATATACAATCAGAGGTTTCTGAGGTGGCAGTTTGTGCTGCGGGGTGGACAGCTGGAGCTGTGAGTGCTTGTGGCTCCAACAGCTGCTCCAGGTGTTCTTAGTGGTGGTGTGTGCAGCTGCGCGGCTTCCCTTGCTCCCCTGAGTGTTCTTCCAGGGATCTGTAAGTAGAGAATGCCGTTTGACTTTGGGGGGGGGTTAAGTATCCCCCGTACACTTTTTTAAACATGTAAGATTTTTCTGCACTCCTGGCGAGTGCCCTAGGAGTGCTGAAAGATCTCTTTGCCCCCTAGGTGCCCCAGATCTGCGGGAATAAGTATCCGCACACACAGGGGCCTTTTGGCTAATAGTATATAGACAAGAAGCGGGGACCTGAAATACTCGTGGGGGGGGGGAGTTCCACGTGAAGGAGGTGGAAACAGCCACAGGTGAGCCTTCTCCCCTTCTCCCAGCACTGACGGCGAGGCCTGCACGGCTCCCAGCCCACCAAGTCTTCTCCCCCGCCCCCCGGCACTGACAGCAAGGCCTGTGCAGCTCCCAGCCACTGGGCTCACCAAGTCGTCTCCCCCACCCTCTGGCATCGACAGCGAGGCCCGGGCCCACCATGCCTTCTCCCCTGCTCCCCCCACACCGACTGCAAGGCCCATGTGGCTCTAACCACCGGGCTGCCAAGCCTTCTCTCCCACCCCCCGGCAATGACAGGGAGGCACAGTTCCTACTGCGTTCTCTACACATGCACAGGGAATGCTCTTTTACTTTTGGGGGGATTTAAGTATCCCCCCTATACTTTTTTTCTGGATTTCAGATTTTTCTGTACACCTGGGGAGTACCCCAAGAATGTAGGAAAATCTCTTTGCCCCCTAGGTGCCCCAGAAGTGCATATTTAGATATCTACACGCAGAGGGGACTTTGGCTATTATATATATAGATGGGGTGAAAATAAAAGTGCTTATATCAGTTGAGAAGTTAAGGTAAGAGCTTCAAGACCAGCTTTTAGAATCATTAGTTCATTTAAACAATATTCAATTAGGTTCTTCTTATAGTTCTTAAGAGCACATTGAGTTCCATAAATAATGGTTGGGGGCAGTGTTCCCTCTAAGCTGAGTTAGTGTGAGCTAGCTCACAGTTTTTTAGCCTCCAGCTCACATATTTTTATCCTAGCTCAGGAAGGATGGCTCCAGAGCAAACTAATTTATGCAGTAGCTGAATCACTCGCTCACAACTTTAATGCCAATAGCTCACCAAGTAGAATTTTTGCTCACAAGACTCCACAGCTTAGAGGGAACATTGGTTGGGGGCACTTTGTTACTAGCTGTCATCTAGTTATTTGTATTATTAACCTTAAAAATAACAGACACCAAACACTTGGGCACAGTCACAATATTCTACAATCAGTCTGAGTGCCTTGTAGATTCCATGAAAGTTTGACATAAGCCAGTATTAAACTACATGGTAAATTAGATTCTTCCCCCCCCATCATCTCACCTTTAAAAAAGCATTGCTATAATGCAAATTTCAGCAGTACTAAAGTAGTCAATGTCTACACTTCTGTGGGATATACCTACAAATTCTACAAATGAGTGGAGCTCACTTCTCATTTGTAGTTAGTTTGCATTCAGTTGATCAGCTCTTGGATGAATGCTGGAAAGATCTCCCCAGGAAAGACTGCTGGATCTCCCTTCAATAACAGAGTAACAAATGGGATTTGGAGGATTTAGCCTTTCAGGGTGATTTGCATAGTCCTTCATGGTGTAATCTTTACACAAGGGAGGCACGGAAACAAATCTTGGGTTTGCATGAACCCCTCACTTGGTAGAGCATTATGAGCTGAGTAGTGTTTATATGTAAACACTCTGTCAAACTTAACAGTCTGTATACTCTGGGATGAAGCATGCAAAGCCCAAGTCTCACTCTTGCATCCTGTTCCCCACAGAACCTGTATATCAAGGTTGGAGACCATATGAATAAGCTTATTTGTTTATCAAAGCTAGAATGGTTATGATTTGATAGTC